ACTAACAAGCAACCTTGTACGTGCATCACAAATTGCACAGTAACCAGTGTGTACCAGCACATTGTACGGTTTTCATTTTTAAAAACAAATTTAATTAAATACATGTTTAATTTTAATATATTGTTATTATATAAAATTTTATACTGTTACAAAAGTTAATTTTAATAAAATGATTTTATAAAATATTTTTTAAAGATTATTTGAAAGTATAAAAAAAATATTATATTGTGAGTGTATTTTAATTAAATTGTTAAGTTAAACAAGTTAAAAAAAACTAATAATACATATCTTAATTTTAAGTTGTTTGTTAAAATTTTTACAATTTTAGATCGATTAAAATTTGTGTAGAAAAAAAATACTCAATGAGAATTAGTAATATATTTTAAATTATTGACGAAAATTTATTAAAATTATATAAATAAATATTTTTTATATTATTATAATTTTTAAAAGTATTTTTAAAAAATGTTGAAAACATTCTTTGTCCAATTAATATCTTCACAACTTTTCTATTTTATACATGAAAACTACTTCTCAATTCAGTATTTGATTAAACATTTAATTCAATGCTAGTCACGAGGCAGAATTTTATCTTAATCTGTGTTTATTAAAAGTAATTAACAAATTAGTTAAAGGTTAAAAAGAATATTTTAATTGAAGACTAACATCTTGTTGAATTTTATATCTTTCTCTTTAACACGTTTATTATTAGATAATTTTTACGGTCTTTTAAAGTAATGTAACTTCGTATGTGAATTAATTATTATCGTTAATTTTATATTAAATATATATAACAGATAGTAGAAATTAGTGATTAATTTAAAAAAATAAAATATAAATATTTTTGATATTTTAAAATATTAAAAAATCATAATTATAAATTAAAAAAAGTATAAAATGTTTTCTCAATTTATATATTATAATAAATACTTTATAAATATTTATTAAAATATACTAAAAATTAAAAAAGTTACATGAATATTATTTTTTATATTTTTGCAATTTTTAATAAAATTTGGTTAATAATTAAAAAATATTCAGCTAACATTCTTTTTTATAAGTGTTTTTTTATTTTTCTGATTTGTTTGTTTTAATATACTTTTATTTTATGAATTTTTATTTTAGTTTTAGATTAGTTTATTAAAAGATGATTACATGTCAATTTTATTAAATCAAATTAATTATGAAGATCGAAACAAAAAATTTATAAAATAAAAAAGAAACACAAGAAGAACAAAAACAAATGAAGAAGCAAATATAAAAACTAGATGCATATATATATTTAAACTAGAAAGCTCTGAAAATTGTTTGGGAGGAGAGACATGTGTGAATATGCTAGTGTGAAATGAGTATTTGTAATAAACAAATGCATCACATTCCATGGTTGAAGAACATATTTTTTCTTTGATAAATTAGGGTAATTTCATATCCTTGACGAAACAAAATAGTATCATTCCATTGAGTGTACATAAACATAAACTATCTCTTTTGTTTTTTTGTGGACGAAGTAAGCAAATTCCCTTTTAGTATACTACACCATCGGATCCCATATCTACATCTTATCCCTATTAATTAAAGTCTTACATAATAATGACCCGTGACATACGTTATGGGTCAATAATAAATATACTCCTCACCCATTTCATCATACGCCACCAACGACTTCATTATTTTTCGAGTAATATTAAATATTCAATTTTTTAGAGCTCTTTTTAAATTTATAAGAAAAGTATCAAAACTAATTTTTATTTATATTTTGAAATTTTATTTTATTATTTTTTTAATTTCTTAGTTGAAAATATTTGCATTTTATATCCACGAATGTCAAAAGTTTTTGAAACATTTAAATATAATAATGAAAGACGCAGTTTTCTTCATTAGCTTCTTAAAAGTAAAGGGTGCTGTCACTGGCCATTGTGGCAGCGTCAGGTGGTGAGGTCCGTTAATTCATTAGCAATAGATATTATCATTTTAAAAACTATAAATCCATATTTAATTAAAATTTGAGTGAAATTGAAACACTCACACTACGTACCATCATTTAACAATACAACAAAATAAAGTTCTTTCGGTGTCGCTTCTTCTAGGGTTGGAGAGAAGAATGGATACGTCATCAATGATTGTGATGACAGCTAAGCTGATCAAAAGATCTCCATTCATTATTTAGTTTTCCAAATTACATAAATTATAAGTAATCTCCTGCTATTGATTAAGAAATGTGAATTATTGTACGTTTCTTCCTTGCTTTCTTTGTTATTCTCAATTCAAATTAAACAAGACATGCATCATACTCAATCATTTATATACCAATAAATAAATAAGAAAATGGTATCTGTGATTTCAAATAATTCATAGAATTCTTCAAATTGAAATCTCCATGAGGAAAATCGGGATTGTGTGATATATAAGAAACCATGCTTATCTTCTCCATTTTAGGTATTGTTACTCGACTATTAATTTCTTATGGGAATTTAATAAGAGGGATGTATAGTTTAATAAGCAATAATATTCACAAAATTATGAATGTAATTACAATTTTCTCCCATGGAGTGTCTTCATAACTTTTGAGAGTGGAACTAATCCCCACTAAAATGTCATGGCATAGGCTTAGGTAAATGCAAATCAGATTCAAATCTTACATTAGGTACGTAAATGTAGTTAATATCTACTAAGGATAAACATTATAAGTATCCTGGAGAGTTGACACACTATTAAGAATTCGAAAATAAAAGATAAACAATAATAAAAAGTTCACGTACTTACTGTAATGAAAGATTTGCTTTCTGTAAAATGAGAAAATGAAAAAAGTAAAGGCTTATTCACTATAGATTTACGTACCCACAAGTTATCATTTAATCTAAAAATTTAAAGGACAATTAAAGACATTAAATAAAAATAATCTGTGTCTTTATTTGGTGGTGCAATTGCTTGTAGGAGTTGCTAGCAGGGGTGGTGGCTTGACAATCTGATGGTGGAATATAATTGAAGTGACACAGTGTATTTGGTTGTGGCTGGGAAAAAGTGAACAAGATTGAAAATTCAGTTTCAAAATGTGAAGGTTTCCACTCAATATTATATAATACATTATGTTGCAATTATGTAAATTAGGTGCGAGTGAAAGTAAGCTATGCGTTATGCCATTTGTGAACTGAAGGGTTTATCCTTTAACCTCCATCAAACTTTGACTAAGGCAGAGTTTTTTATTAAATGACAGGTAAAAACTTTTCTTTAAAAATTTATTTAATTTAAAAAGTTAAGTTTCAAATCAGTTGAAAAATCTTTTTTAATTAAGTCTAATAAGCAAAACTTTTCAAACTTTTCAGTTAAATCTTATTTGAATAAACTCTTCGTGTCATGGATATTTTCTATTGGATTAGATCTATTAATTTGGACCCTTTTTGTCAAAATTAGGACTTCAACTTTGTAGCTAGTGCTTGCCTTTGCACTCACCATGATAAGCCTGGATGTCTACATTAGTGTACATTAATACTAAGTACACATTGCATTTATAAGAGGTAACAGAAGTTCAGTGTGAATATGCAAAAAAGAATAAAAATGAAGTAAATAAAATATAATCATAAAATGAGATTATATCCATGTAAGATGTAATGTACGGACGGTATCAGTATTCAAATAAAATTACTCCAAACGATTAACCCCACCCCCTATTAAGGACACTATGTACAACCTAGCAGTCCTTTGATTTCTTGAGCCATATATTACAAGTTTTGGAGTCATTTGTCCCCACAATGGTTTAATCGTTATTAGATATTAAGGTCATTTTTTGGCCCCTTAAATTATAAAAATGTTACATAAATACCTCTTGAATGTATATACCGAGAGAGATAAAAAAAAACAGTATTAAACAAACTTTGATACTAATAAAAATTTATAAATCAAAATAGAGAAAAATACTTAACACTATATATCTCTGCATCATAAACATTTATGAAATGAACGCACGAGCACAAGGACTGGAGCAGAGAAGGGAAAATCTATGATCTGAGAGACAAAGGCAGGGTTGAGTATGTGCAGACAGTGTTTTGCACGCAAAAGAGATCTGAAACTTACTGTCACACACAACATGCGAAAAAGAGCAAAACCAAGAGGCCACCACACATCACTGACCTATTGCAAAACAATAAGATAATGATTGATGATCTTCCTTCAAGTTTTAAAATCATCACAGGATTACAATGCAAAAGGCAACAACAAGGGACAGCTCCACCGTACTACTACTTAAGGGGCCCCTTTTCAGCTGGATCGAAATTTTGCCAAACAACACCTATCCCCACATCCATTTTGGTGCTACTATTAATTGTTAACAAGTGCCACTCATCTGTTGGTAAAATTTGCACGTAAATATATGGTTCAAATTGCTGCATGCTCGCGACACTATACCCCACGTGTTACTGTTTCTTCTGTTTATTTCTGTGAGTATAAACAATGCCATGTGGGTGTGGCCTCCTTAATTAGCCAATGCCTAATGCTTTTTCTTTTTTTACTCATTAATGGGTATTCTAAGATTCAAATTTAACATTCCGAGATCATGTACAAATTTTTGTATGTATTTCTTTTTATATACACATTAAATAAGCAAGGGCTATAGAAATTATGAAAAGAATAGCTAGGTGAAGTCAATTTAGATTTCTAACATTAGACATAGAGTTTATTTAAGATTACGGTCTACTTCTAGTGCAATCAGTCACTCATGGTTAAAGTTATATATAATACAAAACAAATATTGAAGTATATATTCTTTTTCCAAAACATAACGTTAAAAATGACACTGTTGAAATAAATGGTCTTTGTCTCAGACAATCACAAGAAGCAGGTGCCTTAAAAATAAGGAAAAAACCAACTTCTAAATCTAAGCGAATCCCACCCAACAGAAAACGCCCCTTCTCCCCACAACTCTCATAAATGAAGTACACGATGCTATGGCCAATGTAAAGAGTACCATTCTATATGGCGACAGAAGAAGCAAAAAATTTCAGAACCTAAGTGGGATTCCCTTCCTCCTGGTGATCAACCTGTGATATTGCTCCTTCGCACTTATTATTCTGCTCAGAATTCAATGACCCACGTACTGTAGTACAATAATTAAAAATAAAACTTTGAATAGGACAATGAATATTTCATCGTATTGGATGTATTTTGAGGGTAAAACTGGGATGAGACATTTATATACAGATAAAAGTAATGAAGAAACAGGAGGAAGAGGAAGAGAGGAGTCTGTGATCAGGGAAAATGAAGAAGCAAGATCATGGATTCTTTTAAGAATTTATTATTAATTTTTTAAAGAAGGGATATATCCAAATTTTCTTTTTGACTTTTTAGAAATTGAAATGGCTAAAGTGGCCACCGCACATAATAAAGAAAAAACAAAAGAAAGTGAGAAATAAAGTTCCCTACACGAAATTATGTGGTTCTACAAAAGGCCAGAAAGCGAAAGTTCCTGTTAAATGCAAAAGTATATATGAATATTTCTTTATGGAGAGAGAGAAGGATAAAAATAATGCCAGAAAAAGAAGAACCAAACAAAAAAGTAATACAAAGAAATAATTTCGGTGCATTATCATGAGTAGATGGATCATGATTTTAGTGGATATATGGGTCCAAAATTCCAAATTAAAATTCAAAAATGTCGATTTGTTTTGGAGGGCCTGGTGGGTCTATGCCATAATAACAAATAGAACGTAATAAATAAATTATAGCTGAGTTAAGATAATACAAATGAATGAATAATGTAAACAAAAATATAAGAATGTAAGGGACGGTTGGCTAATGGTCCTTTTCACACTTAGGTGGTGGTTACCAAAATAAAATATGAGCAGCAATCACAAGGCTTTACTTTTTTTTGGTTGATGCTTGCAGCCTATATCTTTTAGTAGGTGTTGTTATCACGGAAAGATATGTCAATAATAGGCATCATAGGAGAGAGAGAGAGAGAGAGAGAGTAAGGTATTAGAGAGGGGAAGGTAGTGAATAAAGTTATGATCTCAAAACTTACCTCGGCCAGAAACAAAAGAGAAAAATAATCCAAAATTCTAAAACTGAAAAACAAAATCTTTAGAACACAAAATCTTAGATCAAGTTGCAAAGGAGGCACCTGAAACAGAAGTGCAAAAAATTGTTGCAAAATGATAAGTGCACGTGTGTATCATTGCTGATAGACCAGCAGTTCAATATACAACCCCGGGGACCATATGAACAGTGTTGCATGTAGTAGTAGTCTTAGATAAAGAAGGATTAGACCTTCTAATTGACTGGTTCTATGTTGTTGCCCATCTTCACAGCGGCACCACTACTAAAACTAGACAATGATTATGGGAAAAAATAAAAATAAAATAATTCTAATTAACTACCCTCAATTCCAAATTAAATTAAGATTATAATCATAATGAAAGGGTCAATTCTTTTGACATCGCCTTCTTACCTCTCTAGCTTTGGAGGATGACAATCAGGGATTAAGACATCATTGTAATTTTTTTCCCTTTTTCTATTATTCCAATTTTTGCCAAATTGTTTCCAAGTGCACACCACTGATTGGAGCTTCACCAGGTCGAGACAAAAAAGAAATGTCATTATGAAGGAAGAGTGACAATGTGCTCTTGCTAGTTTCCTCAATGGCATCATCGGAATATACACTTCTTAGTGAGAATAAAATGTAACAACACTGTTTGAACCCTCTCCTTCGCTCTCCAACAGTAAACCCCACAAAAGGGACGATGAAGAAAACGAGGCATTTGAGTCTAAATTACTGAAAATGAAATGCTTTTGGAGTTTTCTATTCTAAAAGCAAGTTCATTCCTACAAGAAGTTCAATGAAAAAAAGGGGCTATAACTTGACTGTATTGCATTGAGTTCTTAACATAAGCAACTATTTTTAAAAACCGAAATCAGAAGCAAAACATATAAACGAGAAAGAGAAACCTAGTTATGAAGTGCCATATCAACTACAGCAATAAACATGAGAACAATGACATTACGAATGCTAGCACAATAGCTGATCGAGAGATTAATGATTGCGCATATGAGACAAACAATTGAACAATATTTACACCAAAATTTTGTTAATGGAAAATCGCCATAATAAATACGTAACTTAATTATAAGCCATAATCACAATTAATTTCCTTAAAAACTAAGCATAGATAATAATGTTAAAAAAAATAGGAAAAAATAAATAAAAAATTATTAAAATTAAAATTACTATACGGTGGTCGTAGTAACATTAGCTGTGGCAGTCGTGGAACTTACACCGGCACTAGAACCAGGTTCACCACCATCACCACCACCACTATTATTACCACCGCCACTACCACTTGCAACAGAAATTGCACCACTACTCACCGCCGACACTGTCACGGTAGACCTCTTCCGCTTCTTTTTTTCATAAGGGATCCCTCTGGCTTTAGCCTGACCCTCCCTTACTTCTCTGAGGTAAATCCTCACTGCCCTTGCGCCGAACGGGTTAGACTCAGGGCGGCCACCGTTTTCTTCGTAGGCCGCCCTGAGTCTTCCGATCAGCGCGTCAAGGCTACCCCACGCTTGCTTCAACGGGCAGGCGCAAGGTGCAGGAGGATTTGGGTGCCCGAAGTACGGGCAGCCAGATATGTGAACCTTTGTCTTTCCAAATTGGTCCAAGTACTTCAAAAATTCTATGACGTGTGCACCACTGCATCGTGCCAACGTCAATGGGGGCTTGTGGTTCTGTAAGTACTGCAAAAACGTGTTCCAGTCTCGGCGTTTTTGTGACTCATAACGGCTCGGTGGTGCAGGTGATGATCCTTCAGCTTGTGGTGCCGAAGATGTTGTTGTAACAGCTGTTGATGGAGCTTCAGGTGCTCCTCCTGATGCTGAGTCCATGATCAGAAGCTTCTAGAACTCGCTGGGTTAGGTTTAATTTAGGTAACTGTGTGTGTTTTGTTGTGTGATCTATGTGATTCGGGTGAGTGTTTTTTTGTTGTTCGATTGGGGAAGTGAGGTTTTTAGGTGTTTTTTGTTAATGTTTTGAATTGTAGGAAAGTGAAAGGAACGAGGTATGTGTTTGGTTTCTATGAATGAATGAGACCTACGAGTGTTTGAGTTGAGGGAGATAGATGTTTTCACGGGAAAGGGTTTCTGGTTTTTGTTCTCTTTTTCGTGAGAAGGAAAGGAAAGAAGCGAGAGTGGGAAAGGGAAGAAGGGAGCGTTTTGTTTGGACTGGTTTGGAGAGAGACTATGAAAAACGGTAGGAAAACTTAATAAAACATATTAATTTTTAAAGATGTGAATATGTCTTGCCATTAAAAAATAATAGATGTAATAAAAATAAAGAAAACACAGGGAAAGAGTCATATTAATTAGTATTTTAAGAATATTAATTATAAATTTAATAAATGGATATTATATTAAAATTTATGATAAAAGTGTATTATTAATAATATTGAATATTCTATTTTTAAGATGTTTTGTTTTAAATTTTTTAACTAACTTGTAAACATATTTTGAATAAATAAAATAGGAATAAAAGATTAAAATGAAAAAATGGAAATATAAAAAAAAAGGCCACGTTAATGAATTAATTTATGCTGTTTGAGGGATAAGTAGATAAAAAAAGTAAGTAATATATTACTTAACATACTTTTTAAAAATGCGGTTTTATTGTTGATTTAAATTTATTAAAATTTATAAAATATTTAAATATCATTTATATTTTTTAATTTTTAATAAATACAAATAAAAATTAGAATATGTTAAAAAAGTGTTGTTTCATATCCTATTTTTAATGATTTCTTAATAATTTTAAAGCATAAAAAGTAAAAAAATCATTTTTAAAGTATTGATGTTTAATATTGTTATATTGATAGAGCACTCACTCTTAAATTATGTCATAAATATATTATTTATTTAATATATAAGACAACAATTAATATTATAACTATTTTTAAAAATAAAATTTAAATTTATAAAATCACATATTAAGTATTTTTTATATAAAAAAATATGATAGTATATTCTTAAAGCTTTTATAATTATTGTTAAAAACGAAGCTTAAAATACATAAAATATTGACAACTTATTTGAATTCTTATTAATTTTCTTAAATATTATATATTTTAATTATATATGATGCCTTTTAGCATTAAATTATGTTTTTAAATTTTATAAAAATACAAAGTAATTATCTATATATAAATTATAAAATTAAATTAATTTTAAATATAGTCATTATTTATTGATACTAAATTTTACATTTGAACACTTAAACTTATTCAAAAAATTTATAAAATGTAAAATAATAAATTTAAATATTAAATCATGTGAATGATTGTGTATATCAAAATTTATAATTTAAATATTAATAAGTATTTTGCCTAAAATTTGTTATTTTTTATATTTTAAAATACATTAATTGTTAAAATAAAATAAAATAAAATACTTATTAAATTTTTAATGATATTTAATAAAATTTAATTTTTTTATATAAATCTTTAAACTCACGATTAAATTGATGAATATCACATTTTATAAAAAATTAATAAATATTTAAATTTGACATTGTACATTAATGAATCTTAACTGATACTGCATGTATGAAGAATGGAGAGTTATTAATATGTATTTATTATAATAAATTAAAATTGTAACTTATTTTTTTAAAATATAATTATTATTACCTATTAAAATTTCATTTAAAAATAAATAAGTATACTAGTAGATTATTTTCTTATAATGATATTTAAAAATAATATATATTAAAATATATATATTTTTAAAAATTATATAAATATAAAATTTAAAAATTGTCATTCACATTTTTTAGTAAAGGTACAAAAATTTAAAGATAAAGAAAAAAAGTGATAGTATTTTAAAAATATAAAAAATTTATAAAATTTAAATTTTGTTAATTATTATTTTTAAAACAGTGATAAAATATTTTAAATTATTAAAAATTGCTTGTGATGATTTTTGTCAAAAGTCGCCACCTACAATTTTTTTAAAATTAAAATTTTTGTAATTTTTTAAAAAATTATTGATTTAATTTTGAGAAATGTTTGAAAAATTTATTGTAAATAAATTAGTATAAAAATAAATAATTTTTTGAATATTTTATGTTACTTTTTCTTATAAAATTACTTATAACAAATTATCGAAACTAAACTATTAAAAATGATTTGTTTACTAGCTTTTAAAATGAAAATGTGTTAACAAGTCGCATTTTTAATATTTTGAAAAAACATGGTTATAAAATTTAAGATAAAAAAAAAAAGAGTTTGAAAATACAGTTAATAATTCGAATAAAATGGATGTAAAAAAGAAAAAAGGAATATTTATAGAGAGATTGGTGATGGGACGTAAAAAAGGCGTGCTGAATGAATGGATAGGAGAGAGAAGGTTGAATGGTTGCTTTGATTTGATGAGAAATGCCCATTTGCACTTTCCACAGTGTTTCCCAATTTCACATGGTGGCCCCTCTCCACATGACACTGCTGCCGCATCTCCACTCTCTCTGCGTCTCTTTCGCTCGCCACGCGCTCTTCTGATTCGCTTCTCAGCCGCGCGTGCTGAGCACGCACACGGTGCCCCGTGGAGCATTATATTTTATTATTATGCGGATCTGATGGGCAATAAATGGAGGGTCTGAAGATGGTCAAATATTTCATGGTCATGTTATCTTTGAAGATACCTCTTGTACCCTCATTTTCATCCCATATATCAAATTCCTCCATGCATTTTATTATTACAACGTCACCATTTTTCTAGGCACACAATTTAGCACTTCCTTAGTTGCCTTAGCTTTTCTTCTCTTCGACTCTTTTTTTTTTCTTTTAACCCTTATCCATTTCACCAAGCTCGTCAATTATTTTAGTAAAACTAAATAAAACCAATCTCAACATTAAATATAAAATTTATTTTTTAGAGAAAAAAACGTTATATGTTGGGTTTAGATTCGGAGTCCTTGTAAAAGTTGGGTTTCTTTCCATACAACTTTTTGACTCAACACAGCTTTAGTCCTTCACAGTCTCATTTTTTTAATACGATAGAACTAAGTTAGATACTTTGTTATTTTTGTTAATTATAATCAAATCTTTATTTTAATAGAAAACATTTATTTTTAATTTTTATGTTTATTATATAGATTATTGAAGTAATTTTTTATTATTGATTACAAATATTTAAATGCCACACTTAAATTTTTTTTAAAATTAGTTTTATTTAAAATACATTCCTTTTTACTAGTCCTTAAAAATTATGTTTGAAAGATTTTACGAGAAAACTTAAATATAAAAATAACATATATATTTTATAAATTATTTATAATTTTTTATTAAATTTATGATATGATTAAACTATTTATGTGATAACAATATATTGAATAAATGTTTAATTAAATTATTATTCAAACATACCTTAAATCTCCGGTAAGAGACTTAAGAAAAAAAAAAAGATAAAGACAAAGAAAACAGCAATTTTTTAATGACTATATGCGTACTTAAGTTTTAATTATTTTTCGTATAACGCTATATCTTTTTAACAAATGTTATTAATGTTTTATTCAGTATTTTTATAAATAAGTAATTTATTAATTTATTAAAATTAATAATAAATAATTATATCATAAATTTATAGTACTTTTTAAAATATTATAATAATAAGAAGTAAAAAGAAATAATTCATAAATATATTCACTTATAAGAATAATAAATAAGTATAGTATAACTCGTTTACATAAATATTATGCTAAATAAAAATATAAAAATTAATAATTAACATGTTTTAAAATGTGGTATTATTTTTATAATTAAATAATTCTTATTCTTTATAAAGAGAACGAAAGGAATATACGCTTTGTTATTCATTAAGATTCACGTAGAATCAACAAAATAATGTGTAAAGCATACATTATTTTATGGGTCTTGCATGGATTTCATGGAAAGCAATTTGCAGGTAAGCAAAAGTAACTGTGCGAGTAAAATCACATACGTCATTTCATAACCAATGTAGTCTTAATATTTTAAACGGGATTCGTCTCATGTTTAATGTCAAATGTTTAGCAGAAAAATATAGAAAAAAGCTAATCAATAATCTTAAGATATTAATTAAAGAATTAAATTTGTATTTTATTAAAACCATATATTAAAAACGCTTATTTCTATATATTAAAAATATAACTTATTTCAAAAAATGCTAAATCAGGGAACTCTGAAATTAGTGATCCTTTCCTATCTTCGTGAGGGAGACAGAGAAAGCTTTAAGAAATAAGTTATCACGTTTAATTATTGACTGTTTTATATAAAGAAAATAATATAATATATATAAAAAGGTTAAAAAAAACTTCTCAAAATATTAACATAGAGTGAGTAGAAGTAGCATTTTCAATTTCATATTTGAATTCATACTCGATGAGAATTTATAAAATAATCTTATTAACAGAGTACATATAGTTAAATTTTGTTAATTCAATTATTGGCAAAGGCTATGGAGAGGGAAGATCCCTCTTAAGTGTCCAGTTTTTTCTTGGCAATTGTTGTTGAATGCACTTCCTTGTAAATGTTTACTGATTGATCGTGGTGTTCAAATTGATGATATAACTTGTTTGTTTCTGTCATGGTTTGGAAAAACTTCCAACTCATTTATTTTTAACATGCTCAGTTTCATCTCAAATCTGGTACTTTACTGCGCGTTGGCTTGGATTCTCACTGGTTTTGCCTTCAGATTTATCAACTCACTTGCTTTCTTGGGTTGGTGTTGACTGTAGTAAAAGAGAAGGAATATGCTTATTAATTATTTGGGTAAATACAATGTGGTCTTTGTGGTTGCATAGAAATAGAATTATATTTTCCAATGGTATTTTGGATGAGAGGGAAGTCCTAGATTCTATTATTCTGAGATCCTGGAAATGATTATCACTTGTTAGTAAGGGAGAAACTATTATGTTAGCTGATTGGTATTTGAACCCACGAAATTGCATCTGTCTTAATTTTGCATAAGTATATTTTTGCTTTTTATTTCTCTGAGTAATTAATTTTTTGTGTATATGGGTTTTGAGTTCCCCTTGAACTCTTTTTAATAAGATTTGTTTTGCCTATAAAAAAACAATAATCAATTATTGAATAAGAC